CAGCCTCGTGCAACGCCTGGTTTGGGGCATCGCTCGGCCCGTGGCGCTTCTAGTGGCACCACAGGGCCCTAAACAAACAAAACCTGCAGGATAAGTTCGGAGCAAGTGCTCAGGTGTCGATGATGCACATTTTGTCAAATTACAGAGTTCCGCATGTGAGAGCTCGAATGCTTGCCATACTCTCGCCTTTAAGGCTCATGCGCCACGGAACTTGTGGTCGAGGGAGGGCGCAGCTGCGGCGGGCGACTGCAGCAGCTTGGCTTGTGCGGGGCTCTGTCCGAGGAACCTCAGCACATCAAGTCGCAACTGGACATTGCTGGAAGAAAGCTGCGGGGCAGCGTACGCGGTTGGCAGTTGATTGGCGGACTTACACGCGCGTACAGTTTGTGCCGCCCAAGCAGCTGCACACGGCCGCTTCCCAGGTCGTAGATGCCACCCTGGATCTCCAACTCACCGCTCTTCACCTGGAAAGGGCGGTGGTGGGCTCGACGCTTCTAGTGTACTGACTATACTTCGCGATGCGACATCTGCAAGATAACCGCCCCCGCCTTTTGTCGAATGGGCTCACTGTGCCTGAGGATTGAGGTTTGCTCTGACTCTCTGAACGGGTGCATTTAAAGATGTATAAGCCAGTATAAGCCGACTTAGGGCCAGGGTGCTGCAGCATGAAGTTGATGGTGTGGAACACGTTCAGCTTGATGGCATGTCGCACAATGTCGTCCTCTGAGGCCTGCGCAAGCTGTCTCTGACTCACGTGTGCGCGTGATGTACATGCAAACGTCTAGAACGACAGCTTCATCTTCAGTGGATTTCAACCGCACTCTGCCTTGCTCCCCAGTTTCGTCGCCGCAGTCTCCGCAACGGAGCGCAGGCCTTGCAGCAGCAAATCCAACGCATGGCCGTCCTGCGGAAACGCTCGCAACGGAGCAACACTCAACACACCCAACACGCTCCACAACAACAGATCTGTTGTGCTTCGTCATGTGTGCTCAGAAAACTGCAGTCCTTGGCCCCGCTGGATTTCGATTTCTTGGAGTCAAGGTAGGCCTTTTGGTAGCACCCTTGATGGCACCGCAGGCCGTGTGCCCGAGCAAGATCAGCCGGGTTTTCAGCGCACCGGTGCAGAACTCCAGGCTGCCAAGCACGCTGCCCTCGGCATGTGTGCAGGTGTTGCCAGCGTTGCGCAGGACAAAGAGGTCCCCAAAAAGGCGTCAAAGACGGTTTCCAGGGCACGCGCAAATCCGCACAGCCAACCAGACCATGTTGTTCAAATCCGCGCGCATGCTCTGGTGGACCTTGCCAGCTGTGGGGGCACCCACTGCAAAGCGCTCGTTGCCATCCTTCAGCATGGCCAGGGCACGCAGTGGCATCACTGGCTCGCTCTGGGCGGTTCGGATCGTGCCGCACTGGATGGACGGCGGCACGGAGCGCTTAGAGGACAGCAGCTCGGCTTGCTGCGGCGAGCCCAAGAACTCCACTCGGCCCGTCTCCAGGTGATAGATGCCGTCCTGGATGCGCAGGTTCCCTTTGCGCACCAGATCGCGCAGGGGTTCAGAGAACTTCAGGAGGAAGTTCATGGAGTGGAAGACGTTCACCTTCACAGCGTGAGTGATGAGCTTGGCCTCCTCGACCCCTGGGCCCAGGTCCTTGCTGGCCTGCTGCGCCACCCCGGCCAAGCCCTGCAAGAGACCTTGAGGGCACTGTCTGGAGCCTTGGGCTCACCGGCCTCATAAGTCTTTGTAGCTCCGGCCACGGCGCCGCACTGCGTGTGCCCCAGCACAAGGACCAGCTGGGCGCCCAGCTTGCCAGCGCAGAACTCCAAGCTGCCAACAATGCTCCCTTCTGCCTCAGCAACGATGGGAAATTTGCCCTAACTCCCCCGTGCTTACTTCTGAAACTACATCATGCCCAGTCTAATCAGCTACCTGGATCACCGAGCTGCGTGAGTGCAGGTGTTGCCCGCGTTGCGGAGCACGAAGAGGTCTCCGGGCATCGCGTCGAAGACGGTGTCGACGGGCACTCGCGAGTCCGCACAGCCAAGGATGGCGCGTGGGGCGCCTCCTGGCCGCACTTCACCAAGGCCTCGCGCATGTCCGTGGAGGTGGTCGCTGCCGTGGGCGCGCCTACAGCAAGGCGCTCAGCAGCTTCAGCGCCGTCGGGCTTCACTGCAACGTCGGTCCCGGTACGGACGCCGTGCATTCCATGGTCGGCTGCTGCGCCGCTCGACATGGAAGGTGGGACAGGCATGCTGGACTCCAGCAGCTGGGCCTGCTGCGGGCTCTTCACCAAGAATTCCACACTGCCTATCTCCAGATCGTAGATGCCACCGTGGATCTCAATCTGACCGCTTCTCACAGCCTCTAGGATGGACTCACTGAAGCTCAGCAGAAAGTTCATGGTGTGGAAGACGTTCACCTGAACCGCGTGGGCCGCGATGGCATCCGCGTTTGCGCCAGGACCCATTTCCTCCTGGGCCTGCTGGGCAACCACGCCCAAGTCCTGCCTTGCAGCGCAGAGCCCGGGCATCTAGAAACGTCTTGGTGGCCCCATAGACGGCACCACACTTCGTGTGGCCCAGGACCAGCACCAAGCGGCTGCCCAAATTGCCCGTGCAGAACTCCAAGCTGCCGATGATGCTGCCTTCCGCCTTGGCTACGCATTGAACGCTGCCACACGTAAGCCTGAATGGCATCTGTTCAGGCGAGGTCCCCTACAAGCTTTGGGCTTGCACGACGTGCGTGCCAAGTAAACATCTACATGAAGCTGCGCCGGTGAAAGCACCAGATGGGCACGCAAACTGGCGCGCTGAGAGTAGGCCAACGGAGCAATTAAACGGTGCCAAGCTGCATGTGTGCAGGTGTTGCCTGCGTTGCGCAGCACGAAGATGTCACCTCGTGCTCGCGCATGCTCGCGCACGAGTTGCTGCATGAAGAACTTCGCATGTGCTACGGCCCGTAAAGCAATCCCTCGAGCGTGTAAAATCAAGAAATGGACCTGGCATGGTGTCGAAGATAATCTCCAGGGGCGCACGAGAGTCGGCGCAGCCAACGATCG